AAAATATATAACACTGTTCTAGTGGTTTTTGGATACTTTAATAAACAAATCTTACATATTGTGCCTTTAAATGGATTGTTATAGAGCTGATATTAACGTTGCTAAGCTACAGACACAATGCTTTAATACATATTAAAAACCTTATTGGAATGCATTCCTGGATTTCCTTTTTTGGAAATGATATATAGAATGCTACCTTAAAATTCTGCCAAACAAGGTATCTGTGGAGGCAGAATAATGCTGCTGACTATAGCCGAATATACACTTTGGTTTTTACATGTATGCTAGGCTATGTGTACAGTGCATGTGATGCGAATTTTAACATTAGCATTGTACTGTACATATGAAGCAAGATTTTTCTAACCGTACATACTCTGTACACTCAACTCGCGCATTCGACAATAGATGCCTGTTTGACGAGTGCTTGTATGAGGGTAATAAAAGATACCAACACAACTCAACAGATATTTTTTTTTATCCCTTATACCTTTTGGAAAGAAAAAGTGCAGACACTGGTCAAAGATTTCAGACTTTCTCATGTACATGTGTAGAGGAGAAGACTTTGAGTTGGGCAAGTTATATACTCTATTTGTTTTTATCTGAGCTAACCAACACCACTACGTAGATAGCAATGTCACTCCAACATGGTGGCTCGCTAGCTAGATGGCTAGGTAGAAATTTGGAAAATAAGATAGTTTTCTAATAAATGTTTCATTTCTACTTTAAAATGTCTAGCTTAGCAGCTCACTAGAGTTTGGAACAAAACCATAGTGTCTTAACTATACCACAATGCTTTTCATTTGTTATTAGTTTGCCACATAGCAGTTTCAATCTACTAACCTGTGATCTTAAATGTTACACACTTGTGTAGCTTGTAACTTGAATGATGCTTAAAGGGATAGTTCACCCAAAAAAGAACATTCTGTCATTAATTACTCACCCTCATGTCGTTCCAAACCAGTAAGACCTTTAAGATATTTTCGATTGAAATCCTAGAGCTTTCTGGCCCTGCATAGACAGCAAGTGTCCTACCAGGTTCAAGGCCTAGAAAGGTAGTAAGGACATAGTTAAAATAATCCATGTGACGTCAGTGACATTATTTTCAACCGTAATGTTATGAAGCTGCGAGAATACTTTTTGTGCGCAAAGAAAAGAAAACACTGCACCTTGTTTACAATCAGAGGAATTGTAAATGACATGAGGGTGAGTAATTGATGGCATAATTTTCATTTTCGGGTGAACTATCCCTTTAAAAGAATTAGGTCAAAAATTAAAGAGACCGACAAACATCTTGGCATTGTTTATTTTTAAGTGTCAGCTGTCAGTCTGAAGTCTGGTGTAGATGATGAGGGATGGTTTGTCATGAGAGTGTTTCGTTCTCGCAGATGTTCTGTTGGGCACCAAGACACAGATCTGTTTTATTTCCGAAGTCTGTATTTATGTGAATAAAGATCAGCTGATCTGTCTCTCTCTCTATCTCTCGAGCTCATTAATCACAATCTGTCTGTGCACACATGGATCATTTGTTTTGGGCAATCACAAAGCCTCCTCTCTGACATGAATATTCAAAGCCTCACAGTGTCTGAGCATAGCTGATTACCCGATGCCACTGAGCCGAGATGATGGGAGACAAATCAGGCTGCAGGTGATGAAAAAAGAGGAGCATGCAGTTAGAAGACAGTGAAAGTGGAAAGAAGAGACCTGTGTCTTGGTGGCCAGTGGCCGATCTGTTGAATGGCTTTGTGTGTGTCATTCACTCGACTGAAAATAATGTGACTAGGGATGGGGATCACAGGAAATATAATGGTTTTGGTTCCTTTAACTATATAAAATGTACTATAACAATTCAGTAAGTGAATTGTTCGGTGAGTTCAAACCCATTATAAACCCATGAGTTGAAGACTGATTTGAGAGTTGTTTTGGCTGATTGATTAAAAATAGCTGAGTCATTCACACCTACACTGGTTACATTGTACTTGATGTTTTTGATGTTACATGCAACCAGCAAGGACAATGCAATATGAATGTGTAGTCTATTGTTGTTGTATTATTTTGTATACACTCTTAAAAATAAACATTCTTTATTGTTATCTATGGGGAAGAACCTTTGCCATCCATGAAACAAGTGGAAAAAAAGGTTCTTTTAAGAACTGTTCACTGAAGGTTCTTTGAGGATCCCAAAATTGTTCTTCTATGGAATCACTGCAAAAACTCTCTTTTGTAATCTCTATTTTTAAGAGCGTAGCTCAAATTCAATTTAGACTGCAACCTCACAACCAACTCTAGATGGGATCTTTTGACACTCAAGTATTGTTAATGGAACCAAATATCTTGAAATTTTGCAGTGCAAATACTTGATTCCCAACCCTAGATGTGACGCCCCTGAGATAGTTTGGGGTAAAACAGTGATTCATGTCAGATCATTTTACTAATGAGATGTCTTCATTGGGTTATTTCCCCTCTCTTAATTTCTTCATCTGTCCTTCATCTTCCTGTGCTCTCTCTTTTTTATCTCAATTTTGCTATTGGTTCCCAAATTTCTCTTCTGCTATCCTCATTTTTTTTTTCCTTTTGACCTTTTTGGTGTGCTTTCTCTCTGCCTGGACCTCTCTTTCTCTCTCAGGACGTGGATAAGACACAGACAGAAATCATGCGTCATCACACCAGTATCAGCGAGCTCAAGCGGAGCTTCATGGAGTCGGTGCCCGAGCCCAGGCCCAGCGAGTGGGACAAGCGTCTGTCCACCAACTCGCCCTTCCGGACCGCCAGCATCAACGGCCAGCTGCAGCCCGACGTGAGTACTGGGGTTAAAGGTTACAGTACACTTCACTGTTGGATTTTAGAGCCTTTGTATGCCTTTTTCTTAAAGACTGGAAAAGTCTTGATGATAGACTGCTGGCTTCATGAAATGGAGGTAACTTTGGCCATCCATTGGTGTTTAGCTACCTAGTATGTTGACAGGGTTTCATGTCAATACAATGAGCACTTTTTGGGGAAGAACTATTGACTCGTTTTTCCAAAGTTTGCCAAAAGTGGCATAAAATCTTTGAAGGATACTCGGAGTTTGTTCGTTGTGAGTAAATTAGATGTCAGTGAACAATGGGTATATTATGCTTTCTTTTCTGAGTTATCTCTGTTTTGAACTTTTGGGTGGATTGCAGTGCTGTTTTCAGTGACTGCTGAAACATTATTTGCATTTTGTGTATATTTTCTGTTTCCTTATAAATAAACATATAAAGTGACTTTTTTTAAAGTTAGCCTGAATCTCAATAAACATACATTTTTAGAGAAAGGTTTACATCAGCCATGTTGTAACAGTCTCAGTATGGTGCATTTTCTAGTCACAGTCTGTTTGATGTGACAGGCAGTAAATTAGACAACTTCAGAACTTCACCCATGGATCTGAATGCTTATTCTGTCAGCCTGTTAAAATCATTCTGAATCATAAGAACAACTCATGCTAATCAAGCTCCGCTTTCTTTCTTCTATGGAATACAAAGGAGAGTTGTGCTGGTTGCTCTTAGTCCCTGTGGGAAACAGTAGAAAAAGGATGTGAAAACACCAAAAAGCAGTCTGCATGACACATGAATACTTCAGATCTTCTATACTCATACAAATAGAAGTATAAATCTTCCAGTTGTCTCCTTTTTGTTTCACAGAAAAAAGGAAATTATATAAAACTGGAAAGTATGTGAACAAAGAATTTTAACATTTCTTTAAAATTAAATTTTAATTGTTAAATTTGGTAGAGACGTTTTATTAAAGTATTTCATTAATTTTCTTTTTTCACTGATGCAGAATGCATCTAGTTGCTCATTGACACATGTAGCATGTTATCTGAATAAGCAGGTATTTTATAAACTCTGTGTGTGTCTGTGTGTGTGTGGGCACTTGTGCACACAGGTGAAGACGCCTCCTCTCCTACCCGTACACAGAGTAGCGGGGGGTATATCGGAGGTAAACGCACTCTCATTTGGTCATTACTGCCAGGGCTGCGAAGCATCTGCACCTGAAAAGACTGACGTTTCTTTATGTAGAAAAAGAACGACACAAGCAGAAGCTCAAATGGCCGCTGGATGCTATGGCCATGGCCCAATCAGAGTAGGAGATCTCCTCTCTCTCTGAATCTGCTCACTGCCGCGGCTTTTATAGACCCACCTGACCATGCCCGCTCCCAAAGCCATGCCCCTTTACTATTGCTGCTGCTCTCTGAATGGCTAGCGCCGGCTTTCCTCTGCTTTGATCTGCGAATCGCATGGCTGGATTACACTGCGTAATGATGCTGCATGAGTCTGTTAGTTTATTGACAACCAAAGTAGGTCTAAAAGGAGAAAGTAGTAAAACAGGAAATAGGAAAAGCAAACAATAAGAAACTGACGCCTCCTCTTCATTTCATTGTCTTTTCCCCCTTTTTTCCTCTTGTTCCTGTCCTTCACTGGTTGTCCATCCTTTCCTTCCCTTTGTTTACTCTCCTCCAACTCTCCTTGCAAAAGTCTTGTCCTGGATCGCAGTCTTGTCCTCCTCCACTTTCATCCATAGCTCCATCTCCACCTCGATCCTCCTCCTCTCCACAAGCAGGAGTGTCTAGAAGCACCCAGAGAGGGGCGCGTTCTCTCGCCCCGCGGCCCTCCTCTGCTGAGGCCTATTACATCATGTACCAGTCTCAGACCTGAACACACTAAACTGCCATATCACACACTCCTTTCAATTCAAAATGAATTCCAATTCAAATTCTCTTATTCTCTCAAAGTCTGTCTAAACAGCGTGCACTTGTATTTAAAATTCAGTGTCTGTTTTGTTACTCAATAGATTTCAGAAGCACATGTCCAGCATTGAACGTCTCTGTGTTAGCTCTAGACATGGACTTTGTAAGGAATAGGCCTGTCAAAATGGCTGAAAAACTACATTTGAATTTTGTACTTAAATATTATCCATATTCGAATTCTATTCGAATTTAAAAGGCATAATTTCAGTTGGGGGGAAAAAAAGCTTTTGGCTTCTCTCCTGACACCACAAGAGGGCGCATCGAGAAAAATATTACTAATGCACGTTTCTTCAAAGCAATAAAATAATGCGAATATCTTTGAAAAAAGTGCATAATGTTTATAAACCATATATAATTAATTAAGTTGCTTAAACCATTAGAAACAAAACCGCATCATGTATGTATGTATGTATAGTTTAATACAAAGGACCGAAAACCAATCACAAAGAGTACTTTTTCATTTAAAAACATGAGATTGATTGGGAAAATACGATAAATGCGTTCTGTGTGAACGGCTTGGTTTCAGTTTTGACGTAAACAAGATCTTCTCCGCATTGATGTTCCCTTTCACGCAATATTTTGAATGAACAATGTAGCAGCGCCGCATCTAGTGGCTTCAACTGGATAGACTAAGAAAAACATTAAAATGCAACGACACTTACATCGTCATCGCATCTTGTGCGCCACTAACAAGGCTGCCTGATGCACACATAAAATTCTGGATTTTGTTCAGCGAAAATGTGGATTTTTATTTTAAATTCGACGGAAATTTTTTTGACAGCCCTAGTAAGAAATGGAAAGATGCTTGTTTTGATTCCATCGAACATTTCTAGTTTAATCATTCAAGTAATGATTCATTTGCAAATTATCAGAAATAATTCCCCATAATTGGCCTTAAATATAGATTAAACAAAAATCATAAACAGTTTTTAAAAATGAAATTATGGCTTATTATAGTAATCTCTTTCATAAAGCTTTTTTTGTAATACACGGCATGAATTAACATCCACGTCTCATGTTTCAATAAAAAATTCAGATGACAGAAGTAATTACTTGATTATGTTTACACAACACTATTTTCAACTAAAAACTGAAACCTTTTTAATGTGTTTTGGCCATTAATTTACACAACAACGGTATTTGGGGGCCTAAAAACACAAACTTTTGTAAATGGGGTAAAAATGGCAAGTTTTGAAAATGATACCATAATCGTCTCTGTGTAAATTACAAAAACACAGATTTGTGAAAATGGTGACGTCATGCACATGCGTATTACGTGTTCAGTCTATAGGTATGTGCGCAGGCCAAATAACATCGCCAACTACTGGCCTAGCATGAATAATACAACGTTTTTAGTTGTTTTCATGGATCTGTATGAACTGGGATCTTTTCAAAAACGGGATGGAAAAACTTTACATTTTTTAATATATCGCTGTCATGTAAATGTTCCAGCACCGTAAGTGTGTGTTTGGGG